TACTCAGCTCATAGAAAATACTGAATACTACCAGCAGTATATGGAAGTGTCAGTTTCCCCATAATCTCATTGGTAGTCTGTATTTTGTGTTTTGTTAACCTTTAAGATGAGAAGTGGTATCTGAGTGTCTTGTTTTAATTCAAATATTTGTTGTTATGAGGGAAATTAAGCATCTTTCCATATTTTTATCCTTTTAAAAAATCTGTGTGTATATGATGTATGCATGTGCAGGTATGTGTGTACCTGGATACACACATGACAGCACACATGGGAAGGTAAGAGGACAACCTTGAGTGTCAGTCCTCACATTCCACCTTATTTGAAGCAGGGTCTCTTGTTTGCTACTGCCTTCACGAGGCTAGCCTGTCCACAAACTTCCTGAGGTTCTCCTGTCTCCCCTTGCTAGCTCACTGTAGAAGCACTGGGATCATAGAAGCACACTACTGCGCTCAAATTCAGGTCCTCACCCACTGAGCCATTTCCCCGGCCTAAACATCTTTCTGTATTTCTAAAGGTCATTTAATACCTCCTTGTCAATTGTCCACTGGTACCTTCTACTCCGTTTTCTATAGAATTTTTTGTCTTTTATTTTCTCAATTATTTAAAGACTGTTGGTATGTTAAGGATATAAGTTCTTTATAGCTTAGAATGGCTTTTGTAATCTTATAGTTTTCTAAACTTTTCCCCCCCAAGTTTTCACTGCTTCATTGTAGGTCTAACAACTTCTTATTTAGTATGTATTTCTTTTTTTATTGGATTTTTTATTTTATAATTTTTATTGAATTTTTGTGTATTTCATACATAAAATCATCTTTATACCCCTTTTCCCTTCCCCTTTGACACCCTCCCATAGCCCCCCCACCCCCACTGGAGTTCATACATTCTGTCATTTGTATTAAGGCCTATTATGTAAAGTTAGTGTACTGAGATGTCCCTCAGTGCAAGTTCGTCCACCAGAGTTTAATCAGACTATCTAGAGTCTCTCTCTTCAAGATCTGTTCTTCCTCACCCAGCAGTAATCTGCTGCCAGTAATTCTTCAACTAAGATTGGAGCTTGCTGTTCATTTCCACGGTTCTGTGCTGGGTTTTTGTCTGCCTAAGTTTACATGGTTTTTGTGCATGCTGACACCATTGCTGTAGGATTGCATGAGAAGGGTTCCTGGCACCTGTAGGACTATTTCCATATGGTTATGCACCTCCCCCCTGGCTCTTACAATCTTTCCTCCCCCTCTTCCACAATGGTCTCTGAGCCCTGGGTGGGTGAACCTCAATATAGAAGACCTGTCCAAGGACCCACACTCTGCCAACTCTTAATCTCTGCATTTTAGCCATTTGTGGCCTTTTGTGTTCCTGGCCCTCTGTTGCCTGAGGGAACTTCATTGATGAGAATTGAAAGATGCATTAGTGTTCTCTTCACCCCTTGTTCTATGTTCTGTGAGCCTTAAGTGTAGAAATTGCATCCTAAATGTGCCACTTAGGCTTGGACAGTTGACAGAGAATCTCTGTGTGTGACCAGTGGTGTAATTCTGTAATAATCTCTGTTGAAAAAGAAGCTACTTTGATGGGTGGTAACTGGGATACTTATCTGTAAATTTAAGGATCTATATTTTGCATATAGCAAGAAATTACATTTGTCTAGGGAATTTTTAAAACTTTTTATGTGTTATATTTGTCAGTCTTTTCTTGTATTCCATTTGACTTGCATTGTTGTTAAAATCCTTTTCCTTCACATTATGGAGGAATCTACTCTTCTTCTGATACACTTAGTCTCACATGTTTTACCAAGATTCCATATGTGCTTGGGTCTATTTCTGGGCTTTCTGTTCTGTGTGTTTGGTTTATCTATATGTAGACCACTGTCACATCATTTTAAATAAGCTTTGTTGGTGTCTGTTAACTCCCCATCATAGCTCTTTATTTTCATTGTTTTCCTAGTTATGCTTGCATGTTTATTTTTCTTACCAAAATAATGCATCCTAGTTTCATGAAAAAATTCATTGACTTTTTTTTAAACTTTATTTATTTAATGTGTATGAGTCTTATGCCTACATGTATGTAAGTGCACTAGTGTTGTACAATACCCATGGAGGTCAGAAGAGGGCATTGGATCCCCTGGAACTGGAGTTGCAGGTAGTTGTTAGCCACCAGGTGGGTGCTGGGACTCAAACCCAAGGCCTCTGCAAAACAGCCAGTGCTGACATAGACAACAGATACCTTGTTGATGTTGAGAAATCCTAACCAAGAACAAGGAATGTCTTTCAACTTGTTTGGATATACTTTTTTGCCTTTCAAGAAGTTAATATTTATTTTGAATGCTTTCTAGATGTCTAGATGCCTAGTCCAAAATATTTTATCTTTTTGTTGTTATGGATTTTAATATGTAATAATTGTGCATATTTATAGATTACGTATCAAACTTTCAACACATGTATATAGCATATACAGCAAATCAAAAGTAATTGTAATTTCTACCTCATCGTTTCCTTATGTTTGAAGCCTGTGAGCATCTCTCTCCTGCTTTTTATAAAATATTTAATAGGTTAGGGTAAAATATACTCACCCCCTCTTCTGTGGAACACTAGAACTTATTCTTTGTATCTAACTGTGTGTTGCTACAATCCAGCCTCTCTCTTCCTCTTTCCCTTAATCCCTTGTACCTTTTAACTGGTTATGACCCGTGTATAGACGTATGAGTGCATTGGTTTATTTCCTGTTACTTTACTAAATTGCTGACTTAATTTTATCACTGCTTCTGTAGAATTTTCATATATTCAATGTCATCTAAAATAGTTTCTTTTTCCAATTCCAACTTCTATAACTGTTTTATTTAATTGCATTGGCTAATATCTCCTAAAAAATCATATGCTAGAATTAGGATCAGTGTATTTAAGTGTCTTACCATTTCAGTTTTTTCAAGAATATTTATCAAAAATAAGTGTTGAATTTTATCAAATACTTTTCAGCATTTTGAATATAATCATATAATTTTTCTCCTTAGACTCATTAATAAGATGATTTATATTAATTAAATTCCTCATGTTGAACCATCTTGGCTTCTGTAAGCTAATACATTACTTAGACTCTTTACATTAATAGTCATAAATGATTTCAACCTAACTATATTTATTAGGTTTAAGTATCTTTGCTTCATAAAAAAGATAAGGGATATTTTCTCTCAATCTCTGTTCTCTGAAGCAGTCTAGAGATTTGATGCTAATTTGGTTTCGGAGAGACAGTTCTTGATTCCCCTTTGTTCTATTTGCATTTCTGTATGTCTTCTAAGTGAGGCCCTAACTTCTCTTTGTTTCCTTTTTATGATACAAGTTATCTTCCAGCCTTGGAAGATAGAAGTAATGAGTCCCTCTAAAAGATCCTCTAAAAAAAGTTCCTTACAGCCATAGAAAAACAAATAGTGCTCCCCCTGCAACAAAAAGCCAGATATGTTCCTTCCTAAGTCTGGTAATGTTTTCCTTCAGAACAAAAGATGAACATGCTTACTGCCCACTGTAAAATAATTAAGTTCTTTTCCTCAGTGTTCTCTTTTTTTTTTTTCTTTAATTTTATGTGTATGAGTGTATTGCCTGAATGTGTGTAAGTACACCCAACCCATATTGGTTCAGTGCCCATGGAGGTCAGAAGAGGTGGTCAGATCCCCTAGAACTGGAGTTACAGATGGTTGTTAACTGCCATGTGGGTGCCAGGAATCAAACCCAGGTCCTCTACAAGAGCAGCCAGTGCTCTTAACTGCTGAGCCACCTCTCCAGCCCAAGGTTCTTAACCTATAATGCAACCCTTATGGGCCCAGATATTATCTAGTTCTTTTTCCTTTTGCCCTGTGGGATACTCTGGCTACTGCTGTTGCTGGAATGTACTCTTTCATCTCTGGCTCAGGAATCTTCTTTTCTACCAGCACCCATGAAGGTATGGGAGATCAGCTTGTTAGCTGCAAGTGGGGTAAACCCTCACACCCTTGACATTGTCTGGTCTTTTAAGGTTGTGGTAGCATTCCTCTAGAAATAATTTTGTAAAGTAGTTTCTTTGTAGCTTTATCTGCTTTTTCTATTGGAATAATCTGTTCAAGTTTTTCATCTCTCCTCCTCACTTTTAAGAATTTGTAAGTACTTACTGCCTCGGGGCAGAGGGCTAAGGGCTAGGATCTCTTTAATGGTCCTCCTTTTATCCCCCCCCCATTGCTTTTCATTTACTTTTGGAGTTTCCTTGCTTATTTTTTATGAATCATTTTGATCATATATAGTTACCCATAGTCCCTTCTTGGCTTGCAATAAATCACACAGAATATATGATGTAGCTAAAGTTGTAAAAATGTGTGTTTTTACAACTTTAGCTATATCATATATTCTGTAGATTCACCTGAAGGGCAAGTAGTGGGGAATGGCTGGGGGTGCCGACAACACAGCAAACAATAGCAGGGATATCAGAGTATAAGGGCTCTAGTTGGGAGAGGGAGGCTGTGGGAGGGTACTACCTGGGAAGTGGGTGTATAAATAAATTT